AAACAGTTCCATGTGTATTTAGAATACAACAATAGTGTCACAAGATTTAGGCACATTAAGGGATCTATATAAGCTGTATTACCTGACTCATAGACAGCAATACTATAGGGTTACACACTATATGTAGGCTTGTGATGTCGTTCTGATGGAGTTAACGCGTTAAGGGCGATATGTAAGCTTGTGATAGCATTGCGATGAGGTTATGTGTTAACTTGTAAGTACATTGCGATTAGGTTAACGTATTGAAGAATACATGTAAGCGTATGAGCATACTGCGATGAGGTTAACGTGAACACACAATAGAGTTAGCGTGTTTAGAGGTACATGACAGCAAAGTTAATATAGAACAGTGACCGCGTACATTAAGAGTTAACAGCTTAAATTAATTACGTGGCACATCACCTATGATGAACAGGAGGTCGAATACGATACTGACTCACGGGGGCTACTTAAATGTCTTCTGGAGGGGACGGTGCTTTGGCACAGGTTTAGAACTTTTATCGAAAACATTCGTCGACTTCCGCATCCAGCTCCCCTGTGATCAGATCAGATGACTGAGAATGATTTCCCAAACAACTTCATGCCCCTTGTGTTACAGTACTCGTGATGGTTTGGAACAAAAATAACAGAAAAAAGTTTCCATAAAGAGAGTTTGGATAACAAAGGATGTTTGCGACAACCAAAGTTTCTCACAATGAAGTGAAAACATTTAAATGCTGCAAGATCGGGAAGCGATATGAAGGACCACGAATGTGGTTACCACAGACCTACGATAAGATGAAAGAATAGTAACTATTCCGGCAATAGTGGCTATACCTGGGTCGCCGGCATGGCTGGCAAACATTCTACCACTGAACCATTAGCACATTCGTCAACCTCGTGTTAGCTCAATGATCTAAGAAAGCTATGTTGACGACCTCATGTAAAAAGTTTTGTAAATAGCTCAACATCATTGTGGTTGTGAGATCGTTGACCGCATGGGACGAAATTTAATGCTCATTGCACTGCCTTTATTGACCTAATATTTTTAAATTTCCGGACAGAATAAGCCAGCGGATCAGACACAGAGATCTCAACTACCGCTCATAAAGTAAGTCTTTACAGATTAATCGTATAAATAAATACCTCATTGATACTGCAAGGGAGAATTACTCAGAATGATTTACGTCGCCTATATGAACCTTTGAATCCTACCGTATGAGAGTAGTTGTTCTTTGCAAATCTGTGTGATGCTTGGCAAGATAGAGACTGCATGTGAAGTAGGTGATGGGCAAAAATGCACGACTACTCTACGTAGAACAGCTTCCGTCTAGTGAAATCGTCTTCATCATGTAACAGCATCTACTTATCCCGAGGTTTTTCATGAGACTTGAAAAGTTTTATTTACAAGGCAACATGAAAGAGCATGCAGTTTTCTTTCCTAGAAAAGAGTTTCCTTGCCAGATTTTCGTCATAATAAAGTTCTAAAATCTGGTGTTACGTGTGCAATAACTGGAGTTTCTCTTATAAATAAGTCGTTTTAAGTACATAAATACGTTTAAAAAGCTAATCTTGAATATCCTCAGTTTTTACGTAGTTCTATTTGTCGGTCGACTGCTCGTAGGACTCACTACTATGAATGGAGTAGCTATCCCGTATTAACAGAATCCTTGAGCTAATAAACATCCGTGGGATCAACAAAGGTCCACGAAGTGATTGTGGTGAAGATCTAGTAACGTCTTAACAACAGTATTTACGTATGCAGGAGAACAGCATTATTTCTTTCTGAATAGGTCCAAAATATCAATGAGGACAGCTGAGGATTGATGCTCAAGCAGCGGTCGAACGCATACACAAACCCGACCATCTCGGTGAAGACGTATACTAGAGAATGAATATTACAAAATGGAATAGGTGCATGGGATTTTGTGGTATGTGATGACGGGCAATTTAGGTATATAGGTGTTTTAAATGTACGAAAGAGGTAGTTACAATCCCATAGGGGTTCCACTTTTCCATAAACAGTCCAGTTAAGTATTCAGCAACTACATGTCAGTTATGTGCCTCGTTATAAAGTGTACACATTTTGCTAAATATACAGTGAATATTTTCGCATTTGAACATGAAATGGATCACTTAAGCGAACTATTGCAAGTAGATGGGCGCGTGTGGCACAGTGGTCGGAGGCGTCCTGCAACACAGACGTGGAATCGATCCCCACGCCTCTGGTCCACCAAGCCTTCCAACCCTCTGGTGTCGGCAAATTTGTACCAGACTTGTCTGGAAGGATAGCAACACTTACTCGATACATCGGTAGGCCACCGCAAATCATTGTAAAGGCGAGATGTGCATTCAATCACCTCCAAACCATGTTTAATGAAGTTCAATGCATGGCGTGTCTGTCACAGATTGATCAGCGCCAAGAGCTTCATCGTTTATCCTCTTTATTATTGCGAGTATAAAACGCAGAAATAAATGTGTTCCATATATTCTTTTACGACATGACGTAGTGGTTAGTCCTCTGCCTAAAATCACCATGTAGATCAGGGTGTTCCTTCTCCTAACAATACGAGCGGAACCTGTTACGTTAGCTGGGCATGTGCTTGAGGTATTTAGTGAATTTCTATTATTTCTAACCTATTTTATTCACATCTTTTTGAACCTTGTAGGCAACGGAAATTGTTTTTGTGGGCGATGCCTACAAAATAGTTGACTGTTAACAAGTTCATCTAGCAGTTGTAGCACCCAAAGAGCTTTCCGAGCAGAGGGTATCTGCTGTTTGTAAGTGCTCCGCATCTGGAGCGCCGGCATGAGCTCATCTTGCCCCGGCAGCAATCCGTAACAGCGCTTCGGGTCAGCAAATACGCAGTCCCGAGAACTTCTGTCGTCTTGTTCATGCAAGAACATTTACGATGATTGCTGGCATTCCCATAGATGCAACGAAGAACCAGTTTTTTCCTTTCAGAACGCCATTACTCATGATCTGTATTGTGTTAAAAACACATTGTTTAACTATGTGAGAAGCTGAAGCGGAGTATGAGGAGGAAATCGAACCATTTACGTAAGAAATCTCATCAGCGGATACTAGAAATGTTAGGCGTTCAAGAGTGGGTTCATCTTTCAAAAATGTTTTTCATGTGATGGCACTCATTTCGTGACGCAGTCATAACGGGCATTCTTAACATCGTAGAGAACACCGTTCAACCTTCTCAATAAAGGAAATAAATATGTTAATAAATGAGTAAATTATATAAACATTGCCCTCTGGCTACGCTCGATATTGCTTCAGAACAAAGGTCAGTTCGCTCTACTTTTGCACTGTTTCTTCAGCTGCTCTCAGAACCAACAATTGCATTTACTCAGCGCGAAATTTTAGGTGAAGAGAAATTATTTGTGGATTTAAAATGTCTGGTTGCGTTACGAATGGGAAGATGCTCCATAGTCCATATGCTCCATAGCCATCACAGCATTTTTCCAGAGTCGGCACAGCAACTCGTCCTCGAGAAGTTCATCCTGACGAAGGTGCGTTGCGTTCTCTCCGGAGATTCTGCGCCCTTAATTTCAACTAAGATCTGTTCACACTCACTTTCATCACCCCTTTAAATAGTGGACATATTGGTCCTAATAATGAATTTCACATGAAAACCCAATGTGAACACCAGTATTTTCATCGCTTGGATTCTCCTTGCCTTCTTTATCCCTGAAACCGTTGCATGGTACTAATTTATTCCAATTCACTTATGATTCACTTCAGCTGACGAGAACTGACCTCGCTTATAATGTCACCATAGTCAGTTTCGCGTCCAAAAACATGCAGTCAATTGGATGGAACGTGAAAAGGAGTAAGTTCGGGGTCGCCTAAAATGAGAGCCAAAAAAGTTACTCGTGACGGTACTCCTGAAGGGCAAAACAGGTTCCCCATAAGTATTTTCAACCCTAAAAGTTAGAGCATGGAAAGTAACGCGTAAGTACCATCTAGCAAAAAATAATAGAAATAAAACGTATCGTGTTGCAGCATGCGATGCTCTCTTGAATCACGCGATGATTAATGGAATTGCAGGTGATGAAGACAAAGTCGGTGTGCGTGATGCGGTGGTTAGTGGTGCCCCGAAATTCATTTACAGTCGTTAGTTCGAGCCTCGGGGAACCCAGGGTCTCCTACCTTTAGAGGCAGGAGAATAAGATGCGCTCACAGAGGAACAAAATACCGCCAACCATTCCTTTTTGCCATAACCTTTCTTTGGTTAGAATTCGCTGAGTTGTGAATAAACAAGTTAAACATTCCTGCTTAGCCCTGGCACCCTAAGATTTATTTGAAACTTTTGTAAATTATCTGGATACAAATTTCCATACCACGCGCTAATAGTGGAGATTTTCTGTTTATAATTACGTGGTCGATATCACCTGTAACACACTGAGTGCGGATCTCAGCACTTCTTGCATTCGATTCGTTCCTTCGCACCCACCACCCACGAATTTCTCCAGACTTTTTGCGTATGGGTGCGGCTGCTGCCTGGGGATTTCCCTCTCGTCATGAACGTCGTTAACTCCTGGTCGAGTAGGTTCTCCTGAAAATCCTGAGATAGCCATGCTAAGGCGTACCCATGTGAAATAAAAGGAGCAATCTTGTCCCACACACGTCTCGAACCCGAAAGGTAGGACCATTTGCGTAATGAAGGGTACCACTACCAGTGCACAACCCGCTCTCCATATCAGAATTAAAAGCCCGAATAACTGAGCTCTACATCTGGCATACATTACGCTGTAGTGACCATGATGGCATTACATGAGCAATTCAGTTCCACTGTCGAAGTAAATGACGGTCGATCCTGCACGGCTAGTGCAATGGACTCATGGCAAGGCACGCATGTGAGCACTGACGGCGACGCTGACACCGCGCGACGCTGCGCGACGCCGCGAAAGGTGCACTGTACGCCGCGCCGCGCCGCAGACCGTCCCGCCCACCGCGGTCTGTGCGCGATCGATGCGGCGACGCGGACCGGACGAGCAGTCGGACCGCCATGCACCCGTTGATGACCAGTGTGTTGGCGCAGCGCCAACTCAATGCCGCCGGTCAGCTCTTCACACTGTCCGACTATGACGTCATCACTGACCTGGTACGGTACTAAGCTGATCTTACACTTTTAGTCAGAACACGCGCTATTCTGCGAGCCGTTCCCTCGGTTTTCGTGAATTATCTATTGAATTCGACTGATTTCACAATTACTAAGGTCGTCCAAGTCGTTTCTCCATCCCTGGGATTGGATGTGAACGAACGTTGAAACACATCCTTGAACTTAACTATGAGCAAAATCGCGGTGGCCAGCTTTTCTAGGCGTCCAGTTGTTTTTGACACCGTTAATGGACAACTGTTTTGATCATTTCAGTTAATCAGTTGAATCGTACCACTTTCGATGTCATTTGGATCCCACCTAAATCGATAAAGTGATAATGAGAAGCAATCTGTTCCACTTTTTCGGGATATGATACTGACATTACCGCAAACGATTCCGATTGTAGTCGTAGGTCTGGGATGTTTCTTTTCTATCGAGATACAGGTCTTCCGATTCCACAATGTACTCTCGTCTTTTGACCCATGAATCTCGTTCCATAGCCTCCTTTGCTGGGAAGATTCTTGACAGTCGCGCTACTGCTAGGCTCCTTTGTTACCCGTTCATTTTTCCTCATCTCACCAATCATTTTATCATCGTTCGATCTTTTTTTTTTCGAATACAGCGATGAATTTTTGCATTGTTATGAATCGGTGTCGTTACTTTCTTTTATCGCCATAGATTTTCGCAAACCAAACAGTTGTGGTTTCTTTTTCGAGACCTTAGCGATAAATTGACCACTCGTAGAGTTTTCTTATTCATTTTGCGAACGAGTATTTGAGAAATTTGGGTTACTTGTATTCCAAATTCTGTCTTTTCGTACTGAAATCGTTCACAAAGTGGCTGATCGGTTAATGTGGTTACAGTCGTCCTGCGGACTCACAAAATTGTCGACTAGTGGATTTTTCACGCAACCAGTTCTTGATTAGGAATTCTAGGCACGAAATATTACATGTTACTCAGAACAGGATACAAATTTGCCCCTGCGTTTACCACTATACCTCAACTCAGCAGCTTTCATGAGGTCCAGCTGTTTGTCTCGTATGACATTTAACGTGCCAACCCCGGTAACACAGGTGAAGTAACGGATTTCATATGTTATGATAAGCCATTGCGGTCAAAGCTACGTTAAAGTCGAAGCTGTAGTGTTTGTTTGCTGAGCGCTCGACGGACGAAACCGTCTGCCGGCGACGGATGGACGGATGCACTGCTGCCGCCGACGGTCGGGTGCGACTGCAACGGTGGCAGAGCGAGCGGAAGGGCAGGTGTTGCAACGACAACACGTCACAACGCCAGGATACTACTTGCATACTTGGACTGTCCGTCCTCACTGGTTGTGCGGGCCCTAGCATAATCTCCAGTTTTTTGGAATTTTCCTGACTTAGCCACTGTGGTTCTTTCGAGTCCCGAGATCAGCCTGAGCAAAGCATGTCCCTGGTCGTCACCACCATAAGCAGTCGCTGCCTTTCTGGATCAGAGGGAGATTTAGGACGGTGACGGATCCTGGCATTGGTTTGCTCTTAGCTGGGCTTCCTGGTGGAAACACTGGGCACTTTCTCATTTTGGGAGACTCTGCCAGGGTTATGTATCCTCCCGCTGTATCATCGCAGCCTAACACCCATGAACACCTCCCAGCCACAATGAGGCGGTAAACCATTCAGAGGTACATCAAAGTGTTTGACAGTATCTTAAAAACGTACTTTTATCAAGTCTGGGCAAGATTATTGAGCTGACACTAGATTGGTACAAAAAATTTTCACTCGATCAACTTCGTGTCAGTTCACTAATGTAGAAAAGTAGCTGAGAGTATCTGTTGATCCGCTGACGTAGACTCTGTCTATATAGAGCTGTGCTATTTGGAATTAGGAATTTTTTTCTAAAATCACCATTTCCATTTGTGAAGGGTCAGACGGTTTATCTAGCGATCTTCTGGATCCCCAATTGCAATATTTCGATTGTCTTCCATTTATTTTGAGTTCATTTTTGTTTACATGGATTTTTAGGTGTTAGCAAGAATAGTGGTTTTGCTTTGGTCTTTCATTTCCTCTAGCCAACAAGCGGAAACTTCTTGCTGGACTATCTGAGGGGACAGTTTACGGCCGCTTTCCGCCTGGAAGTCTTCACACTTCGAAAATTGTTCGTGGATAAAATCTCTGTTCGACTCGCATATTTTCTGATGGGGCATGACATCTCTCTTCCTTAACTGACGCCTTTCTGGTCATTACTTGATTCTGATATGGATTTTATACCCCTAACAAAAAAGTTATGGCCGCAAAAAACACACCGTTCTTCTTTGTGTAGCATTCGTTTTTGCGTCGTCGCGTTATTTTCAGGCTTTTCTAGGCGATTCATGGTAGGCGTACTAAGAAAAGAAGTGCTGCCTACCGCAGATATCCGTAACTTCTTTGATAGCTGCTCCCGTAATTATCATGGATTCTACCCTTGCAGATCTATCCACTAGGTTACATCAGATCAGAGTTAGGTTCCAATCACTTGAAATGACTCGAAAGCAACCACTTCTGTGAGATGTCAATAAAGAAACTGGGAGAGTTAGACGTCTTTGTTTGCTCAACTGACTTGATTCGGTTCGTGATGTTCAGAGGAAATCGATTCGTAGTCTAAAAAGAAATGATTGACACACAAAGAGATTAGTCTGATAACTGCTCTATTTCACACAACGACTTCAGTTTAGCATGACTAGGTCTTTTCGGGAGGAGTTTCGACGATTTTTGATATGAATGCGAACCATTCTGTTTTGTGTTCGAAGCCTTTCTGAGAACGAGAGAACGGAGATTGGTGTTGTGATGTTAACCAGTTTGTCTGTAAATTTTCCAGAGTTGAACTTTTCATCCCTGGGAAGGTAAGGATGGCGGTGGTGGTTAACGGTTATCAGAAGTATGTCGGCGACACTTGTTGGTCTAAGTTCACGCAATCATTTATCCTCGTTTAGCAGGGAAAATGGCATCGGAGCAAAGTATAGGTTTTTAGTGTAGATGCCTAGAGTTATACTTAATGGGTCACGACTTTTGAAGGTCAGGCAGATGTTATTCGAAGCTTGGAGTTCCGAAAGCATAGCTCGGATGTAACCAGCTAAGGCTAGGTTGCATTCAAACATAAAATTAGTTGTTTAACTTGTCTCTCTGCTCTTGAAATCGTTTTTTTGGCTTTCGAGAAGGGCTTAGTCTTTAGGTGTGCTAAAATGACCAATGTCATTTAAATGCTGGAACAAAGCCTTCAGTGCTAATTTTATCCCCCCTCTGAGAAATGAAACTTGATGGACACCCACACTTTCTCCACATAGTTCTTTCTCCATTCAGTAGCAGGAACTCTCGTTAGGTAGGGGTCATCCACAAATTTGATCACTATTTTGATCACAATCCTATTTTGTAGACGATTAATGTGAGGTCAGCGGAGAGAGCAGGAGCTATATGATGGGGCTTTCTTCTAAACGTCGGAAAGATTCTCATTTGACATTCTTCTGAGCACCGATGAGCCAATGAGGGCACTATTCTGTTTGAATTTTCAAAACTGTTCTCGCAGCACGAAACCTTCCTTAAACTTTGTCCCAACCCACCTTGAGTCAGGCTATTTCGCAACCCCTGAGTCACCGTTCCAGATAAACAAGTAGCGGAATGGGACACGTTTACGTCTATGCTCTTGTAATGTTGGTATCAAGAACAATGACTAGGATGTCAAATGTTTCTTCTCTTGTAAATTTGTGAGAATCAACACAGTTTGAATACTCTTCATACTAGCTGAAGGACCTAGATATCAATTCCACAGACGTCTTCGTTGTCGAAGTTACTTTTTTGTGTCAAAGCATCGAAATCTTTCACCTTCGGTAACTCCGCTTTTAAATGTAACAAAGGCTGTGTCGGAAATCAGATTATTCCTAGATTTTACTCGCCATGTGCGGAACACCGCAAAAAACATGATGCAGATCCGTCTCGCTTTCATACTACAAGTGGCAAGAAAGCTAGACGTAAATTTGCTCTTGGTCAGTTGTTCGAAAAATAGTACTTATTTGTCCCACTGAAAATCAACCGGATAATAGCTGAGAGAAAGGCGAAACCTAGGACGCGCATGGCGTGGTGGTGAACGCGTTAGTCTCCGGAAAGGGTGGCAACGTGTTTGATATCCTTACCGCAGACACCTGTTGCCCGGAGTTTTGAAAATGTCTCGGCGTCATTGTGATTGAACCTAATAATACTTTTCGTGAGAATGATTACTGTCCAACTCTAACATACGTCGATGGGTAATGGTTAGAGTATTCGGAAGAGTTCTGACAGGAGCACAAGTTGGAGGATCATCGTGAGGTAGTCGTCCATTGTTTAAAGTGGACGAAAGTAGACTGAATGTCGTCGGCACACGTAGCTGCTTCGTGCTGTCCATTCGCATCTTCTGGATGGATCGGCTTTATCACTGGTGATCTTGCAGTACACAAGCCGACATCGTCCTCGTTCCGGACCCATTTCTGTCGATTTATGGGTTTTCATTGTTGGTTAGTATATCAAACACGTCACGACGTTCGGATTACGACCAGCCACTGCTCTGTACGTCTGTACACGGCAGCCGGTTCCATCGTTCACCATTAATGAAGGGGTCGTCGGAACCAGCTTGTTAAAAGACATCGAACGATTGCTTTGTAATTCATCAAGAGGCCCACTTTCTTTTTCCACTCGAGTAGTAGAACTTATTTAAAAGGCAGCTTATTGGTATGCCTTCCAATTGATACCTTAAGTGCGTGTGAAATGTGAACGACAGTGCAGTCGTTGAAAGTCAGTGCTGCGTGAGAACTTCAAACCCATATTGATTTATTTCTCTTTCCACCAAGTGAAAGTTCATGTTTCCTTTCAACACCAATTTCGTGATAGGTGGAAGATATTTCGCTTTGAAAGGGTCATTTTGTTCGTAGTCTTTAGATCACTGTTTGACATTTTCCATATACCTTGATGAGTCGGGCAAGCAACAGTGAATGAATTTCGATCTTTACATTTTTTCTGTTAGAGTCAGGTAAACATTGAGAGATCTTGAAGAGAGACGTGCCGTCAGTTTCATGTCTTTCAGCACACTGCGTTCAGTCGCCTAAAGGAGATCTTCAACACTCCGCACTATGTCGAGCGACGGGTCGACCAGAGTGTCGTCGAGATCGTCATCGCGAGGATCACTGCCGCCATCAGGTTACTGGTCGCTTTCCTTGTTTATTATTTGTCTTTCTCTATGGTCATCACTTCCCTTGTCACCCAATCCACATAATTCATCTTATTTTACTTTTAAGAACTGTGGACACTTAGCGGATGTATCTTGAATTATCACGGTCGTCTTCTCACATTCCCTACAGAATGTGCCCACGGTTTCTAAACACAAGTTGTTCCCTGTATCGTTGAAACTTTTCAGCGATTAGTGAAGGATTCTTCACTTGTTTGCAGTTGCTAGAAATAATTGATGAAAGGCTCTTTTGAGGATCTGTTTAGGGGAAAAATTTGTTTATTTTTGTGGGTTATTTTGCAAAACAGTATCTAAATGCGGCTGTATGTGGTTACGATTTGGTAGAGATGAGTAGAAGAAAAGCTATCGCCAGTTATTAGACATCATCAGAATAGCTTACTGTACTTCAGTGGACCACGTTTTTTGACAACCCTGCAAAATGTGCATCTTTACGAGAAATCCTACGGTAGTCCATTTCATCTTTAAAAAGTTTGCACTTGTAAGATTCCTCAACACATCGCATAAGCTTTTTGACGACTGATGAATGATCTTTGTTGGTTCGTGGATAGTTAAAACCAAAAATAAAAATCGCTATAAGGACCGAAATGGTATACACCAATAATCAACGGCTCTAATACTGAGGTCGGTTTGCCCACGAACTCGAAAAATGGGACCTTCTCAACATCTTGGTAAGGATGCGTTCTTCTTTAAAGGCCTATATAAAGACGTTAGCAGCGAGTGGTTTCGATCCACCGACCTCTGGGTTATGGGCCCAGCACGCTTCCACTGCGCCACGCTGCTTCCAACGGCAACGTTAATACAGCGAGTGGAATCGTAATCTCTATAAGGACCGAAATGGTATATATCGTTAACCAGTGGCAGTAATACGAAGGTTCTTTTATCGTTGTGAATGCACGGTCAACTTTTAACCAATCTTAGTCTCATAATTCTCCATAAGTTGATACGAGGATGTTAGTTTAGCGTTTATCCGACTATCATTCCCACTGACATGTCAGAGTGTTTAATTAACATGCAGCCTCCTCGGTTTGGCGTTCTCATTTCAACTTGTGGTAAACCACAGTGTGAACACGTTTTCTGAACAGAAAATACAAGAAGTTGTTTCTTTGCAGCGGGAAGCCTCTGTCTTCTAAAGACAAATTGTGGTTGGGTGTAGACGGAGTGGTTTAGTTTTTAGTAAACACTGTGTTGAAGGTTATTGTGATCTTAGGGAAACTGGTTGCATCGAGACCTACTCGGCCGAATTGGTCGATGTGCTCGACAGTTGTCTGAGACATCCTATGACCGTTCTGAACTCAGCAGGTGAACATGTCGACTCGCCTCATTGCAAAATCGCTTCCGATCTGCTAAGTAGTTTGTTCTTGGTGGGTCATTTATTACCCTTTTTTACTTCCTGCTTTTTTCAAATCGCTTCCTGTTACGGGTTTTCGCTAGAAATTAGTAAAATTTCTAGGCGGAGTCGCAAAAATAGAATAAAATGCAATAAAATAAAGTAATTAAAGGAACGAAGAGAGCAATAATGCACGATAAAACTATATTGCGATTCAGTTGCTTTAAACATTGGCTGAAATACCATTCATTTTCGAGTAATACACAGCTGGGGATAGTTTATGCTTCCAACAAGCGCTAAGCGAACAAACTTCGGCATCTGTGGAAATGATAGGAGAATGAATGAGTGAAGTAAGTGACATAGGACTTGGCACTTGGAGACTTTTTCCAGCAATGCAAGCCTGTTTTTCCTTACTACTTTTCCCTTATTCTGTAACGATCAAACTTCATTTTCCAATAGCCCTCAAACCATTTTCTTTTCGTCGACTTTCATCGCGGCTCCTCTTCCAGCCGACGAAGAAATTCAACAAGTGGGCTTTCGTTCAGCAGAATAACAGAGAGCTCTCGACCGTATTGTTAATGATTATTGCTGCTGCGGTTGCCTTAAAAATTTTAAGGGGATAGTGTTCTCGGCTGTTTTAAATGTTCGAAAGTTTGAACTTCTAACAAGTTTGAAATTGAAATGAGGCTTTGGAACGAATACCCTTAAAGCAGTTGAGTGGCTTCTGTAGGGATATCATGTTTTTAATTTTTCAGCTGCTGAAATTCTCCGAAGACAATCGGCAGTCATAAAAAAGCCAGCATTGTTTTAGTTTTGTTGTGGTTTTTCTGTATTCGTATGTTCATTGAAACGTGCACAAAATCCCTCAACTGTGAAAAAATCACAGCCTGTTTCCATCATCTTTGGAACTGATGGTGCCATATCGAAGCTGCGCGAGCAACGTCAAACTCGTAATCTGCATATGTGTTCTGAGCTTGTGGAGCTCTGCAGTGCAACAATCAGGGAGATTCTTAGGAAGGGTAAAGAGGCAAGACGGGCGGAAAGCGCCGAAATTAGAAAGAACTTCCACCATGCTAACAGGGACTTCGCCAATCTCGAGATTAGGACGGCTTTCGCTGATTGTTGGAAACACTGCATCTATGAGGATAGTAGAAATGATCCGTAAACACTGTCCCGACCTCTCCGTCAGCCACTTTCGTCATCTCCCATATATCTCTGGAAGTATTGCTATGTCGTTCCAGTGCTCCCTTAATAGAATCTCATCTACGGTGTAGCGGTAAAGGCAGGATGGAATCCAGGTATGTGGAGAAACTGCAACTAGTTTTCATCAGTTTCATTAACAAAGGTGTTCGGTTTTTCACTGGCTAACTGTTATGTGCAAGATAAGTGGGCAAACAGGAAAAGCGGCGTTTGTAAGATTTGTACACGAACAGAAACATGCTCAACATCGAAAACCTCTGTTCGCCTTGCCCATCTTCTTGATGCCATTTCTAAGCTTTTTTTTTACAACATTTGATACATTATTTCTACGGTGATGCGAAACTAGAAGTATCGCGAAAGTGCAGGATACAGTGTCGTCTCATTTTTGGCAGTTTAGGAAAAAGCTTGTGACTTTTTGAAGTCGAACAGGTATAGTTCTTATACAACCGAGGCGCCCATGCTCATTACATAGAGCTCATTTCAGGTATACGCCTACTTCACCTGCATCACCCGTTGTCCCGTTGATCGTCGAGTAACTCGAGCGGGCGCCAGTAAATCTGCAAGAGTAGCCCAGTGGGTTCTGCTCGCTCTACAGACTCGTCGAGCATCATATCTTTCTTCAAGGCTCTTTGTGAAGAACTCTGACCATCGGGTCGGTGGTCTTCCTGCAGTACGTTTGACATCCCGAGGAATCCAGTCAATAACGGCTCTTGTCCATCGGTTGTCATTCATACGAAGTACGTGTCCGGTCCACCTTATCTTCGACTGTTAGGGGTACAGAACAGCATCTTCGTTTTTTGATCGTTTACGCAGATCGCAGCTTCGCATCCCATCCCTTACTTGTGTGCAACTGGATACTCTTAGCGTCGCCCTTTCGATTGCACGTTCGATAACGCTGAGTGACCTTTCATCCTGCTTAGGCAGCGACCAGGTTTCTGAGGCATGCGTTACGGCAGTCATACCGTTGAGTCGAAAGGTTCTTTGTTCTCTTCACTACATTCTCGATGCTCTTGAAAGCTCCTTAAGCCGCTCGTTTTCTTTGCTCAGCTCTGGAGCTAGATCGTTCATCATATTGATTTCCCGAATTAAATAGATATAACTGGAGCATTCGGAGATATTCGTTCCGTTGAGCGCGAATGGAGCATGCGAAGTCAATCCTTTCTTCATGAACATCGTTTTTGTGAGATTTACTCGAAGACCAATCTTTCCACAGGCTTTCTCAAAGTCGTCAAGTTCCGCTTGGCTAATGTTTGGTGTTATAAGGAAGATGTCATCAGCAAAGCGAAGATGATGTAATTGCCGACCATCGATTTTCACTCCCATATTACCCCATTCCAATGTTCGCATGGCGTTCTTGAGAGTGGCGGTAAATAATTTTGGGGAGATGGTGTCGCCTTGTCTAACTCCTCTTTTGAAGTCAATGTTAATATCGTTGCAGAATGGTGATACCTTGGTTGTGAAATTTTTGTACAGCTCACGAAGAATCTTCATGTACTGAGTAGGGACTCCTTGACTATTAAGAGCTTCCAAAACTGCTTCTATCTCAACTGAATCAAAGGCCTTCTGTAAATCGATCGATGAAAGTGAGACAGAGCGGTCTTTTGTACTCTCGCGTTACTTCAATGAGCCCTGTTACCGTGTGGATGTGGTCCATCGTACTGAATCCTTTTCGAAACCCTGCTTGCTCACACGGCTGTCCTTCCTTTAGTGTTCTGTCAATCCTGTTTAGGATGACTCGAGTGAAAAGTTTGTAGACGACGGACAGTAAGCAGATTGGGAGATAGTTGCCGATATCGTATAGGTGACCCTTCTTGAACAATAACACGGTCTTGCTGGTCTTTCACTGAGTACGGACCTTGCATTCAGACAGGTAACATGTGAAGAGCCGAGCCATTGTGTTTACGAGGACTGGAGGAAGGTTCTTCAGGTATTCTGGTCTTATGCTGTTCAGACCAGGTACTGTTCAATTTTTCACCGACGAAATGTCGGCATGTCGGATTTCGGAAGGGAGAACCGGTGGGACAACACATCCATCCTGCTTTATTTCATATGACGGAAAGTGGACGTGGCTATCGAAGGGATCCGAGTAATCGGCATTTGTGGTGACATAAATTGAAAGAAAAAACGTGGACACGACCAGTGAGAGAATTGTGCAGCGATTATGTCGAGGAGAAAAAATTGCGCCAAAATTTCTCATTGTATTGTGGAAGTAAGTTTTCAACTGGAAAAACGTATATGCTAAGTTGTCTGTTGTTCTTAAGGGGTTTATGAAATCAAATGTCAGTTATACATACAGTATTCATACATCTGGAAGATTTTTTTACAGTACTATGCGAAACGCTCGGTAATGACGTTGACGTTACCAGTTGCGATGAAAGCGGTTGGGTCATCGAACCAGGAGCTGGTTAAAAATACCACCAGCTACATCTCTTTAGCAGCTATCCACAATGGGAAGGCTCTGTCATACTACGCACTGCAGATTATCTCTTATATCATTAATGGTGAGGTTCCAACGTGCAACTAATACGTCGTGTTATACTATTGTAATCCTATGGTGTAACGACAAGAGTTGCATTGCTCACGTTGTCTCTTGCTTCCAATCTAAGAAGCATTTTATTCTTTCGTGGCGGCTAAAAAGGAAGTTGGTTCCCCCGCTAAACACGTGGGATACTGATATGTTCGTTACCTAACGGGTGATTGCTGATGGCAGAGGTCTATAGAACTAGCTGAGAGACAAGGGAAACGAAGGACCAGCATGGTGTGGTGGTGAACGCATTACTCGCCGGAAAGAACAATAGCGCATTCGTTCCCCACTGCAGACACCTGCGGTCCGGAGTTTTGCAAATATCTCAGCAATATTGTGGTTGTATTTCGCTTAATATCCTGCCATAAAAATTATAGAAGGTGGAAAATAAAAAGCAAATATTGCTCGCTACTTAGTTTCTTAGATACTATGATGGCCCGCCTTCACTGTTTGTGCGGGCCCCATCATGACTTCCATTCTCCGGAGATTTATTGGTTAAGACATTGTGGTTCCCTGGAGTCTCGAGGAAGGACAGCCTGGTGGGATTCTACCCAAGGCCGTCACCACCACATGGCAGCTGTTGCGGATCAGAAGGAGATTTGCCACCATGCGACTACTTTGATACTAGGACGGTGGTGGGCCTTGGTATTGGTTTTCTCTTAGCTGAGTTTCCTGATAGAAACGCCGGACTCCTCAGCTTGGGAGACCCTACCGGGGCCATGAATCCACCCCCTCCCCAACCCCCCCCCCCCCCCCCCCCCCCCCCCCCCCCCCCCCCCCNCCCCCCCCCCCCCCCTCTCCGCTGTACATCGCAGCCCGACACCTAGGAACACCTCCCAGCTAGCCACGATGGTGCGGTAAACAGTTGAGAGGGGCATGTTCATTAGCCGTGAATAAGTTACGAAATAGTTGTGGATATCGAAACACCGTCCGTTCTCTTTTTCCTTTTTGTTTTTTTTTTGCTTAATTTTTGATTTCCAACACGACCAGTAAGTAGAGTGTTTTGGACGTAAGCTGTTCACTTTTTCGAAATGTATAGCGCGCTCTTGAAAGTTCCTGTAGTTTACTTGCCTAAAAATTGTTGGGACTGGAAGATTGATTCGAAGAAAAGTGTTTTACGTCATTTACTTAATGTAGCTTGATGTATATTTGCAGGGAATCATTCGTTGTTGCGGGTACTTCCTCAAGTCTATGCCGAAAATCGTGAACCATTCCATGCGCATATTCCTCAGCTTCTTGCGGTGCTCAGAGAAGCAGACTGTTCAGAGAAACTTTCATTGCTTCAGCTCGCAAGTATGATAGCCAATGAAAAGCCGGAAGTGAGCTGCGTTATGTTTTATCTGGCTTTTTTTCTTTAAATAGGAAATCTTCTATAGTGGAAATGGCAAATGGCCTGTCGTCGTGTTCCATAATTATTTATTTCTATATAAACGTGTGCTGTTAACTTAGTTAATACTTGGTGTTTGAAGGGTCAATCCCTACATAGAACTGTGTCGTTCCCAACACGTACACTAGCTAACTGGCATGGCTCCGGCTATAGATCTTTTTTAAATGGAGCCCAAGAACCAGTTGAACCATCTTACGGCTGGGTTTATTGCAGAATGGTGATCATTCTTGAAGTTGTTTTACTCTTAGCTGCGCTTTTGGGTCGAGATTTCGAACTCCTTCGTAGATTAAATGACCACCTTGTGGAGATGTATACCCTGCGGTATATTGTATTTGCACAGCCAAGAACAGTTCACACCTAATATTAGGCTGCAATTCATCAACACTCGACTAGCACCCATAAGTATCGTAACGGTTTTGCGAGAGTGGCCGATATAACATCTAGGCGTCTCATTTTATTTCTGGTTGTTTATTTTAACATACAGAGCAATTTTTCTTCACTTTTTTATTATCACTTGGTAGCTTGTAAAATACAGATGTTGGATTAGGTGTTCTCGGGAAAGGCTTCGTTTTACACTTAGAAGTGTATGAAGAGCCATTTTCCGAACTAGTTCATTAACCAGGAATTTGGATGCTCATTCACTGCTCCTCCCAACGGTCTACCTCCTCATTGTGGTTGGAAGGTGCTCGAGGGTGTCGGGCTGCGATATACAGCGGGGTTATTCATCTCCCCGGCAGGTTCTCCCAAACTGAGCAGGAGTCCGGCGTTTCCACCAGAAAGCCCAGTTAAGAGTAAACCAATACCAGGATTTACCACCGTCCTGGTATCAAACTAATCGCGTGTTGGAAAATGTTCCTGTGTTCCACAAGGGTGGCGACTGCCTGTGGTGGTGACGACCTGTGGTAGACTTGACCAAGCTGACCTCGGAACTCCAGGGAGACACGGTGGCTAAACCAGTAAAACTCCGAAAAATGGAGGTTATACTGAGGCCCGCACGACCAGTGAGGACGTAAAGATACGTAATATGTAGAGTGTGCGGGTATAAAAAGTACTGAAGCAGAGACCCATAGTTTCAAAAACACTTGTAGGTGCTGGCAGTAATATGTTCGCATGATGGACCGTAATAACGAATAGTTAATTGATTGTACTGCAAATATTATTGATACGTATAGAACTACAGAGGAAAGTTTTCCCTACAATCCATTCATGTTCACAACCCGCGAAGTCCTCTAGTCATCGAAAAATTATTGTTTATTTTCAAAAAACCAGCAAGTCTGTAAAGGGTAGAAATTAGGCGTCTTCCAGTCTGCAACAAACCCGAGTTTAAGCGTTGTCACGAGAAGGTTAAAGAGGCTGAACATGAGCGAGATGATGAACAATATTTGTTATGTTGCAAACGCTACATATTTTCTTCATTTAACCAGTGGCCGTATGTTTAATAAATTATATAATCACACTTAAAACGTGGCATAGCAATTTGATAGAATAACGGAGCAAATGGAAATGTTAAATTCTTTGAGAAATCATAAGTATTTCCAACTTTTAGCTTTATGTACATATGGCTCGTAGTGAACTTTATTAAGCAAATCTTTGTGAAGGTTTTCTGTTGAGGTAGTTTAAGGTTACAGACTTCCGCTGCAAAAGCGGGACGTCCGTCGGTGATATACTCAATGAATGTGTTCGGTAAAATAGAGTTTCGCATTACAATTTATCCGGATTCTAAATAGAACGTTGGTTAGGCGGTTTATGGTCGGGCACTTTTGTTGTATTAGCCCCGGTGCCCGGCTTTATAGTTTTTTTTTAAAGTGCATTTTGTTTCCCACAACCGACTTTCAATTAACCTCGGCATTGATCAAATAATTCTTTATGTTCTTGTTGAGCAAACACGAGGTGTTATTTTATTCTTTATTCAAGAACAAGCTGACGTTTCGGTGGATTTCACCTTCCTCAGAGCCTGGAAAGGTCAAGTTGACCGCAATCTACCCAGCCAAATACTTCTATAACCAAACAGAGAAAATACTAAACCAAGATTTCAATCACATTGAACACAAAATGATTTCGTCGCATACTCACCGCTTTCTATGAGTCTATGAGTGCATTTTGTTTATTTTCTAACAAAACCTTTTTGCTGCAATGGTCAAGGCTGAGTTCATGATTTTGTAATTCATGACGCAATGTCGACCTCTAACCGGTTGCCATGTCCTTTGCTAATGTAAGTTTGATATCAAGAAATGTTTCGATGCTTTGTTTAGATTCATACATTGCACAAAACGTCACCTATTTTCGCACAAAATCCAGTCTTCACCGGCGTGAGACAGATTTTTTGTTGCCCAGAAAAGGCGTGTAGCAGCTTCATGACAATGAAGTATTTGCCGCTCATTCAATTCATGCGAAGGGGTTCGGAAATTCTTTTAATAAGCGTAGTTCTCCGGTTGTCTCTCCATTTCTTGTGCTTGGATCGGCTTCAGTAAACGTCTTCAAATCCTCGTCGTTATTGGCAAACAGTCGTTCCCTACCCTCTGTCTACTTCTTCGTAACCCGTAAACTCATCGTAAAGCTTTTAAAACTAGTTCAATAGCATGCAATTACTAACGGGTTCTATGGCGAACGCAATGTTAATCCCTACGCGACGAAGCTGCGTTCTCGAAAACGCACGTTGGTTTCTCCATTAACGGAACAGCGGTGGGGTTGGAAACTTCACAGATTTATAGAAAAGACTTTGGTTCATCGCTTTAGGTTTGTATACGGTTTTCACTCTGTCTTTGAAATTTTAAGTTTCATTAGACCTAAAACATTTTGAAGAGTTGAAAACGAGACACGATTTTTTAAAATTTCCCAAGCCACCGCGAGAGCTACCAAAACCAACGATTCTTTGGCGAACACTATCTTTTTGTTTTTGAAGCGATCGCAATGGTTCAGTTTCTTTCGTTTTCGAAATACGAGTCTTCACGAAGTAAAATGAGGAAAATTTGTTCTATTAAATCCACAAAGTGGTAATTTCATTGTGGTAAAACAACGAGCCTTGTATTTTACAGGAAAAGGGGTAGATTCGGAAATATTCATTGTAATTAATAAACTTCACAACGAGCTGAAATATCTTCTTTTTAACAGGTGGTACTGCTATTCAGGAGCTCCATCATAATTAGATTTTAGGAGCACTGATGAACACTCATTGTAAGCCTTTCAAAAGAGTGGTCTTGGTTCATTACGTTCTCAATTTATAAAACATGTCCACTTTTACACTCTACTGAGGTAATGGCTATCGCCAGAGCTTCATGTGGTTGTGATTGCGTGATATTTATTGGCATATGCGTAGAGAACGGTATAAAGTGAAAGATTATGCTTATGGAAATAGACTAAGAAGTGTTACAGACTTCACTATAAACCTTAAGATATATTCTTAGAAGCTTAAAAGATAACAATTTTGAGGTTTATTTTTGCAGGTTAACTCAAAAAGTTTTTCCTCACATCTTTGTACAGCTGCCTAACCTTGTATACTGTTACAATGCTGAGATATTTGCAAAACTTCGGACCACAGGTGTCTACGGTGGGGTACGAGCGCGCTATTGTCCTTTCCTGGGAGTAATGCGTTCACCACCAGACCATGCGGGTCCTTCGTTTCGCCTATCTCTCATCTGGTTCTATCGACCTTTTTCCATCAACAATCACTCGGCATTGTAGCAGTTATATTTCGCAAAATACTCTGCCGTTAAAAAGAATAGGCAGTAAATAAAAAGGCTAAGATTGTCTTAACTCTTTTATTTACTGCCTTTTTTCTTCTTAATGGCAGGGTATGTTGTGAAATATAGCTCGTATGAAGTGCTGAGATACCTGCAAAACTCCGGACCACAGGTGTGTGCAGTGGGGAACGAACACGCGCTGTTGTCCTTACCGGGGAGCAGCGCACTTCACCACTACACCATCCGGGTCCTTCGCTTTGCATGTATCTCAGCTAGTTCTGGGTTCAATGCCGATATTGGCTCCCCAGATCAATCCCGTTGACGGGTGATTGCTGATGGCAAAAAGATCGATAGAACTAGCTGAGATATATGCAAAGCGAAGGACCCGGATGGTGTAGTGGTGAAGTGCGCTGCTCCCCGGTAAGGACAACAGGGCGTGTTCGTTCCCCACTGCACACACCTGTGGTCCGGAGTTTTGCAGGTATCTCAGCACTTCATACGAGCTAAGATTGTCATTATAACCATAGCCTCAGCTTAACTGGGTTCAATGCCGATTTAAGTTCCCCAGATCAATCCGTTGACGGATGATTGCTGATGGCAAAAGATCGATGGAACTAGCTGAGAGACAGGCGAAAAGGACCCGCATGGTGTGGTGGTGAACGCGTTACTCCCCGGAAGGGACAATATCGCGTTCGTTCCGCACCGCAGACAACTGCGGTCCGGAGTTTTGCAAATATCTCAGCATCGTAGTAGTTATATTTCGCAAAATAGCCTGCCGTTAAAAAGATTAGGCAGTAAATAAAAAGGTTAAGCTTATATACTGTGTAAATTAGTACGCGTGTTGGGTGTATTGTAGTAAGTCACATTTAATAAACGAACAGATATGGGCTTGCTTTAAAACACGTTTTATGTGTAGAATTACTGTGTTATTACAATTTGCCTTCCTCTCACCAACGATTGACCTTCGTGGGAGGGACCTTGAGTGGGTTTATCGCCAGGTCTTTCATGTTAGCATCAGTGTTTATTGTTATGTCGTGCAGAGCCCCTTCGATCAAAGGGTCATCTGGAATTTTTTTTTATTGAGAATTAAAGTGTTTAGACAAGGTGATGGATTGTATGTAGCAGGTAGGAATTTGAAAACTATTTGCCTAACCGGTATTGACCCATGGGTATGCTGTTTCACAATGAATCAATGGAACCAGTGTTATCGTCAACAGGTTCACGTAGTTCTATGAACCCTGTTTCACCTCGGTTGGACCGTGTATCACGACTAGGGAGAAAATTTTTCAGAGGTTGGGAAATCTTGAACTCCGTACTAATGAAATCTTTTTCAGCTTCTGATCCCGCATTTGCCACAATTCGACCAGTACTTGATGTCTCTATCCACGTGTACAGCGGTGCTAAATATCTATATGTCACTCATCTCACAAGGGCGAGCTTATGCTCTGGCACCGTTCCTCCTAACCTTATCCAAAGCATGCCAACATCCGGAATTTAGTGGAAATTTAGCTACCATTTTTAAGGTATTTTTTCCTACAGAAATTGTGCAGCCTTACTAATTAATCGATAGATTTTGAGTTTATAGAAAGTTAGACGTTCAACGTTTAATTCCTATAACCACAGTGGTACTGAGACATTTGCAGAACCCTGGTCCGTATGTGTCTATGGTGGGGATCGAATCCGCTATTGCCCTTTCCGAGGGCTAACGTATTTACCACCACACCATGCGGGTCTTACTTTTCGCCTTTCTCTCAGCCGTGTTTTGATCTGCAGATGTCAGCAGTCACCCGTCAACGGGATTGATCCGGGGGACGCAAATCGGCATTGCACCCATTTAAGCTGATGCTGTAGTATAATTCATGGCTGAGAGAAAGGCGAAAGGAAGGACCAGCACTGGTGATTGTGAACACGTTAGTCCCCGGAAAGGGTAGCAGTGGGTTCGATCTTCACCTCGGATATCCGCTGTCCGGCATTTTGCAAATATCTCGGCATCATTGTGGTTATGTTTCACATCGTATCCTGACATGAAAAGAGAATAGAAAGTAAATAAAAAGTAACTACATTATGGTTTAATTCCTATATTTCGTTCTGAATTATCAAGGAGAAATTGAGCCGAATTTTTTGCAACTCTTCCCTTGAGAAGTAACGATACTATAGCCGTATTCACTTTCTCATTATATTTTACTAATAGCTTTACATACGTAGACAATCAGATCACTCATCTTCACATTTAGTATGAGACTGGACTCTTCTTCGTTCATTTTATTGTTTTGGAAACGTCATGTATGGAGGACGCTTGTGGGTCCGTTCTGCTTTCGCGAATCTCTGATTTTTCGTCCTCATCGAAACATACTCTTCAAATGTAGTTTTCGCTGAAATTCGTGGTTCTCTGGTCCTCACTGCAGGTGGTGGCTGGCCTTTTTGGATCAGAAGAAGGGGTGCCGCTTTGCGATTCTCTCGGGGAACGATTCCTGCGGTACCTAGTGAAAATGGTCGGATCCTGAAAACAGGAGTGACATGTTGGGTTTTTCTAACTAAATAAAGTTATCTAATTAGAATAACGAAACAAGATCAGTTGAAGTTAGTAGCGATGAAGAAGAATGATGCCCATTCTACGTGAAAGAGACATTTTTGCTCGTTAGGGAAATTTCCTGGAATACTCGGTTGTGCGAAAGCAGTTTTTATTAAAAGTTTTGTTTAGAACTTAGGCGGGTTCTTTTTTTCGCTCCAAGAAAGTGTTCCTTCGCATTCTGGATTTTTTTTAAAAACTTTGTTTCCTTTTTCTTTTTTTTTTACTAATTCATGTTTTATTTTACTCGTCGCTTTGCAAAGGTTTCTAATAATATTTGTTCATAATATGTTGTCTATAATCTGCAATGCATAATTTTATGCCAGTATATAATATTTTGCTTGCTATTGCAGAAAAGCATTTATCTGGGAAAAGAAAACAGAGAAATGAAGTCGAAATGGTGGGTTATAGAACCTGACCTTCTACAACTTTTTAGTCTGGCGCCATATTCGAAGACTTTTTTCTGTGAACCACAATTATTCCGCGTCAGTAGTGTTCTTCGCTCGCGATTTGCCATTGCCATTTCAACGACAGAACACTTTGACAGCATTTTGGAAGTAATTTTTGCTTTGTTAACAGGAACGGGAAAGTGAGGGCTTTGAATGATCGGGATTGTGGGAAAAACAGCGACATTTGTAGAATACTCAAAATTACAAGAACTTACAAATTAGTAGAGACAGACTATCATTATTAGACTAAAAACTAGCCGAGAGACAAGCGAAACGAAAGACTCGTATGGTGTGGTGGTGGGCGCGTTAACCCCGGAAAGGGTAATAGCGTGTTCGTTCCCCACTGCAGTCACCTCCGGTCCGGGGTTTTGCAAATGTCTCAACATCATTGTGGTTATATCACACATAATACATTGACGTGAAAAACTGTAATAAGTAGTAAATAAAAATGTTAGCCTGTCTCTCAGCTATTTCTATCGATCCTTGCCACAGCAACCACCCGTCTGCGGGATTGATCTGGGGCGCCCAATAGCGCGTTCGTTCCCCACTATGACACCTGCGGTCCAGAGTTTTGCAAATATCTCAGCAACGTTGTGGTTGTATTTCGTTTAGTACCCTGTCGCGAAATTATAGTAAGCAGAAAATAAAAAGGTATAAAAAACTTAGCATTGCAAATTAGTGTTTTCCCAGTGCCACCGCTCTTTGCTTTATACCGCGACGTGACCTAACTGTATCTCATCAAGGGTTTTCCTCCATAGCCTACACAACGATCGAGAAATGGGCGATACTATCTAGCGTGCAATCCGAATACACAACGCCAATGTTAACTTTGTAGTTCAGATTGCTAGGTCAGGAGATACCCAGTTCTCGGGGGCGTGTAACGAAGTAGCTAGAGCTCCTCTGCAATACACGCGGTCGTTTGATGCCCCGCTTCCTTAGGCCCCAAGCGTTCATTCTGTCCGAGGTCGGGAAATTGGCACCAGATTTCTCTTGGAGGAGTGTCAATGAAGTGAAATATAGGTGGATCGGTTTTGTAGGAGAGTGAAGTCGACGAGAGCTATAGAAGAAGAAAGAACAGCAGATTGGATCCTAATACGGTATGCACATCTACAAAGTGGACAGATGTTTTGCAACTCACGTCAAAGATGTGTGTTTTGAGCCGAATGTCGGCTGCGGAAATTAATGCCACGGTCACGGATACGAAGCGGTCGAACTCTGTAGAGTCATTGATGCTGAGATATTTGCAAAACTCCGGACCACAGGTGTCTGCGGTGGAGAACGAACGCGTTATTGTCCTTTCCGGGTGCAACGCGTTCATCACCACACCATGCGGGTCCTTCATTTCGCCTGTCTCTAAGCTAGTTCTATCGATCTTTTGCCATCAGCAATCACCCGTCAACGGGATTGATCTGGGGGCCCAAATCGGCAACGAATCCAGTTAAGCCAGGGCTGCAGTTATAATCACAATTTTAACTTATTATTTACTGCCTATTCTTTTTAACGGCAGGGTATATAGACGAATCGAAGGACCCGCGTGGTATGGTGGTGAACGCGTTGCACCCGGAAAGGACAATAACGCGTTCGTTCCCCACCGCAGACACCTGCGGTACGGAGTTTTGCAAATATCTCTGCATCATTGGAAGTTATATTTCGCAATATACTCTGCCGTTAAAAAGAACAGGCAGCAAATAATAAGTTAAAATTCTGTAGACAGTATTCCACTTTTGCTTACTGCCTGTTCTTTTTTCATGGCAGAGTATGATGTGAATTAGAGCCATGAGGTTGCTAAGATGTGAGATAAAGTCAGAACAACTGGGCTTCCAACCCTTGTTTATCTTTACCGAGGGCACACGTGGTGTCCACCACACCAACCGATGCATATGATTTACCTTTCTCATGTTTTTACTTCTATATATAGTGATAGAGTGGGAACGAAACGAACTTGAATTAGTCTGCCTCCTGGATTCGTAAGAACAGGACATCGAGGCAAAATTTAAAAAATATTGGTAAATTAATAAAATTTAGCCAGAAAACGACTTTGTTGGAGAGTTAGAAAAAGTTTGTTTTGTTCAACACTTTTTCCGAACTTTTAAGACAATAAAATTTTAATTGGAGCTTTTTATCTGTGAGGAATGGCCCGGTGGTATCGCAGTGATATTGTTGACTATGAGTATGAGGAATTACTTGGTCAAAAATCGTCAACCAAAGGCAGAACCTACATTAAATCCGCACAATATGTGTGAAGGCGGGTCGTATGAAGCAAAAAAAAAATTCTGAAAAGTAGTCTTCGTTTGCAAATTTCAATGTAGCGAAAGCCAGTGACAAACAAAAGAGTGAAAAGGAGCCGAATTATGCCTTTGCGTTTACGTTCAACTACACACATCGTCGAAGCTACTTTGCTAAGTGTGGCTTGGAGTGTCCTGTTAAGGTTGTACTCTCTACTCTTTGACTTACGTGTCATTCTTGTAAAGCTGTCGCGTTCAACCCGAAGGTCCTGAGTTTTGTGAGCCGTGTAGTGGGTGATGATTGAATGTTAGTTATTCTCGTTCAGTGTGGTAGGCCTCAAAAATAGCGAGTGTGGTCAAAAGTACATTCTTCCTTTGCCGTTTCCATCCGACAAGTTGGATATTTGGACTCATTCAAAAAATAAAATATAGTGTGATGGTTAAGGGACCGATAGCACAATGGTGGTGATGTCGATCATCACGAGCACGGTGCTGCTTCGATCGCTCTCCATTTTCACCAGGCATCTCATCTCTTCGATGTTGGGAAATTGCTACCGGACTTGTCTTGGAAAAAAATCACTCTACAATCCAGTTAGGAACGCGCTAGTCCGGCTTTCTAAGGAGTTTAGTTAGAATCAATATACCAGCATTCTTCGGCATTCAAGATCGAATGAAAATCCTCAGTCAAGCAACTGAAGGACGACGACAAAGTTGGGAAACCTTCGTGGATGATGGATCCGAAGAAACGAGGCGAATGTACGAAGTGTTGGATCCACACAGATGTGAAGATGGGTCACATAAAATAAAATAAAAATAAAATAGAGTCAGTCAAAAGGCTTAATGTAATCTGGCTTCCGTGTGATTTCAATTTAATTATACCGATTTGCATTCACTGCGAGCATAAACACACCACTGTCGACAGTGTCCCATGTATTGCGGAATGTAAGAAGTCCTCAAATAGTAGGTGTCCCAAAGGGATGTGTAGTGCTTTCTGTTTTTAAGTGTGGATAACCTTTTTTTCTCCAGATAATGGGCAATATTGGAAGGGTGTCGCTCCCACTAGCTTCTGACGTGCTCGACGAACTCGTCAAAAGTGCTCTGCACATCGACGAACCGCAGTTCTTGTCTTCGATCCTTACCGAGATTGAAGGTGAGCTCCAGAGAATTTTCTGAACAGGGCTTATATCTCTAATATCTGCTGGTTTATAATAATAGCTCTATTGTCGATTCCTTTTTTTAATTTAAAATATCGGAAATATCGGGTTAGAAGGCTCTACTTTTCGACTGGCAGGTGGTTTGTTTTCTTCATAATTCCATGTGATTTGGATTTGATTCATTAGGAGGTTTCGAAAGTGCAGTAGCAAACTTTATTGGGGAGTTCTATTTTCCTGGTTGATCGAAAAAGTAACATCACTATTTGCAGTCTTAATTTAGTCATGTAGTATACTATCATCCTGTATTGTAAATATCCTTAATTGTTCTCGTAGAGGAGACGGTGGGAATTTAACACGGTGCTGTCGGCTTACTGCATTTCCATAGATATTTAGCGGTGTGTTAGAAACACTGATTTCTGTCCATAAGCACCAGCTATCTCTAAGACGTGGTAGTGGTAGATAATAAGGAAAAATAGTCTTTAAGTTTAGAGTTACAACACTGTTTAAGCATAATTTTTCTTCTTTCTTTTGTAAATATCTTGGTGCCCATATCCACATTCTTTTTAATCTGAGCAGCTTGGGACAATGGGACGGAAGTTTTCCAATATGAGCTTCCGTGTCTTTTCTTTTACCTAACGTCTGAGGCGCACATCGAAATTTGGACGCTGTATTCTGAACACTGTTTACATTGTCTTGTTTTCGTTGTTGAACTTCCTCTTCGTTTTTCAACCTTTGTTTAGCACATCCAGTTTTGATTTGTTCCATTATTCGATAGTGAGCGCTGCAGTTGAATTTATAGACTTTTTCACGTTTAGGCGTCGGCGAAGCATGGCCTTCTGCACTTCGACCTCACATCGAATTTTTACGTTCGATTGCTCAAAACGGCAACAAGCGAGTGATTGACAGGATTTTGGCTTTGGTTTGGTAGGTAAACGGTGTTTTGGAATGTAGTTATATAATGATTATGATAACCCAAAATTTAATCTTCCTGGGAATCGCGGTTCATTTGTGAGAATTTCAGTGTTTATTTACTTATTGTTTCCAACACTTATGAGTTGAAGCACATGCAATGCTAACGTATGAGTATTTTATCTAGACATGAACATATACTTATTTCTTCGAATTGGCTTAGTAGTCCTGACGTCTGTACTCTATCAGAATGCAAAATTTTCCAGCAACTCAACTCGTCCATCCGTAAACGGTGACGTGACAGTGATTTCAATAGCAAATGGAGAGCGGAATTCTAGCGATTCGTTGCTCTCGAAGACTTTTGTGCAAGTCAACAGCTCAGAGGTTATCTCGAGGTAAGGAATTATGCAGGAATTGCAATCACAGTGACACTGCAATATCTGCAAATCTGCAGTGGGTAACACCTGAGCCTCGGAAAAGGTAGTCGTAGGTTCGAATTTGGCCTGGGGTCAAAATTTGGCGAATATTTCGGTGTCATTGTGGTTGTATTCCACATAACACCCTGCTATGAAAAATAATAGGCAGTAATTTTCTTCGTATTTTTGTTGAGCAAACGCGAGGTGTTACTATTCTTTGTTCACGATTAAGCTGACGTTTCGGCGGATTTCGCCTTCTTCAGAGCCGCTTTCTATGAGGTTTAAAGGGGTTGAAACCCCCCTCAACAAAAATACGAAGAAAATCACTTGATCAATGCCGAGGTTAATAGAAAGTCGGTCGTGGCAATAGGCAGTAAATAAAAAGTTATACATAATGCCTGAATTGGTTTCAACCCATTTTAAAGCGACATTTAAAAAAGGTCGTTTTGTTCGTTGATGCGTAAAGTGTTTACAGTAGGCAATTTTATACCTGCCTTACCTTCTACCTTATACCATCGTCATTTCTTTCCCCCAAGATGTCTAGTTATTGTTAGAAAGAAGTAAGGGCAACTTCTTTTGTTTTTTTCCCTCAAGCAGAAAATTATTTCTTCGTCTGGTAGTCCCAAGGAGCGCCTTGAATTGCTCTGAATGAACCTTTCGCTTGGGTATATTTGAAAACGGTGTAAAAATAACTATTTAATCTCCAATATATTTTGCGATTAGCTTAGTGGTTGCCCTTGTTTCGCTTTTCCTATTCCTCTTAAAGAAGCCAGTGAATCATCAGAGCTACGAAGCTGGGTACCTTTTTGAAGCCTTCAGAGGATTGCAATAGTCATGTGTCTACTATTTTTTTAAAATTCTGGTTAACTTCTTTACTTCTCTAACATTTGTATATTTGCGTAGTAAGGTGTCGATTACTACAGTATGAGATTGAGCATGATCCACCACAATGAATTGTATTTAAATTTCACTTGACGGGTGACGCTCTAACCTCCATTTAGGTATTTTGTAGTGCCATACAACTTTTTCTTTTTTTTGTTTTTTTTTTTTGTTTTTTGTAAATGGCAGTGTTGTTCTAAAACTAAAATGCTTAGCTTCCATATATAGTAATACGCCTTATGTTGTGTCCAAAAATTTCTCTTTTCAGTGGTCCTCGAACGGTGTTTCCAGTGTGTGAAAGTCCGACAGACTGCTCAGCCCTCGAGTTGGATCGCAACACACACTCACTTGCGATGCAGTACCAAAACCGTAGCAGCGGATCGCTGCCACGAAGGGCAGGTCATGCTAGTGCTTCTCATTCCTTACAAGGGTTCGTTTTTCCAGTAGTCAGCAGTGAAGTGATTAAACCTCGGATGTTAGGCAGTTCAATAGTTCATCGGATTCTTCTCCCAAACTACAAATTCTCGTAGGAAAATCAGTGCAATTTTTTGACAGAAAGTAACCGAACTTTTTCCTTCATAGACATGCCTACAATCTGGTCATTAACATGTAGTTAATCGTCAACTGATTTCTTTAACTTAGTTTTGCCTGTAGCTGACAATCGTTACTATCTTTCTCAATACAATGAAGACCTCTCGAGCCATAGGTATCAATGTTACGTCTTTAACACAACGGAATGTGTATACATTCTAAGCAATTATACGCGGCTTGCCGAATGACCGCTATAAACCAAATAAGGACCATTTTAATACTATCTGTTCATTTTGACGCTCGAAACTTCCTATACTTCTTGTAACCAATCGATAATTTATCCAACACGGATGTTGCGGCTGGCATTGTTCCGGAAAAATTCTGTTATCCATTAAGAAGTACGCGAAAAACCTTTTCTGGGACCGAATTGTCTGGTAATTTAACTGGCAGTTAACCGTTGTTTCAGTTCTAATCGTTATAATGAATCATTACGTAGAATGTGCAGGTCAAAAAGGTACCGAAGTAAATCGCATAGGTTGCAGAATACTTCAAAACGCTGGAAGCAGTGTGTTGTGTAGTGAACCATAGTGACATACAGTAAATAATAGCATAACTACCATCCGTACCCCCGGAGCAATAGAGCATAGTCTTTTCTACAATGTTGTCTTATTTATAAACAGACGTGTGGCATGTGGTTGGAGGCGCCCCGCTATACACACGGGATCAATCTCCGCTCCCAAAGCTCACCAATCTTTTCATCCCTCCGGGGTTGGTAAATTGGTATCAGACATGTCTAGGAGGATACCAACACTGGCTCACTGGCTCGATACATTGGTAGGCCACCGCGAGTCATTGTAAAGGCCAGATATGCATTCAGTCACCTCCAACGATGCTTAATGAAGTCGAATGCATGAAACATCCGTCAGAGATTGATCATCACCGAGAGCTTTATCCTTTTATCCTTCTTTTATCCTTTAGATCTTCTAATTAAGGAAAACTACCGTCCATTTTCAATTAACCAGCAAGGCTGTAACGGCTGAAAATCGGGTGTACGCCACATGTCGCGCATCTGGAAATCAGCGAGCAAAGTATGACTGGAGCCCGCAGATTACCGATTTCTGGCTTTTCGTCGTCAAGATCAGTTATCGTCTACACTGTAGCAGTTAGAACTCGATTCCTACCGAATGCTGCATCGATTCCAGTGGCTGCAGCGCTCCTATTAAATTTTTAGGAAACCGTTTTGCCAATATTTCATCAATTCATATAAAATTAAAAGAAAATAAGGCATTACTATGCCACTAAGGCGATACAACGAAGTCTCAATTATAAGTTTCACAACTCTTCAAAATCACTACTCTGTTAAGTGAAAAACTATCTATCGGAGATTGGCGGTAACCACACGCGTTTACCGACGTCTCAAAGGTTTTTGTTTAAAGAAAAGACATTGCGATAAGACTGATTAAGCCGGAACGAAATTCAGGTGGGGAAGGCCATATGCAGTGTATTGTTCTCACACTGCAACTTTATGGTGTAATTAATAAATATGAGGCAAATATGAGTTTGTAGGTTTGGTGTTAGATGACATTCAGCTTGAAATGGTCGGTAATGGTTCCAGAATGCGCTCGACGAGCGAGAACGCGGGTTCGCGGGACCTGTCTCAGCTGTCGGTGGCCGTCGTGTGTGGCCAGACGCAGCCCCGAACACACACGTTGCCGGCCGGCTTCGCCCCGCACACACAAGTCCAGGTCGGTGTTCTGTGCCCTTCCGCTGCTCACCGTCTTTCCTTTCGAAGCCATATAACAATAACCGTTGCTAAATTACCACACGACAGCTAAGTGATGTCCCAACTATTATCTCTACCATTCATACTAAATGCTCCTTTTACTTATTTGGCAGCTTGTAAAGACGCATCCATCTTTTGAAACAACGAAGTCTGATTGCTTTCCATTTAGAGAAGTGCATAAGTGCACGCAAAATACAATCATCTGAAAAGCTTTTTACTTTTAATCCGAATATTCTGCTAGAGATACTTCAAACTTCGTATTTGGTTTATCGTAAGCTCACCTTACACCTGTAAACAATCTGTGACAAATCGGTTAGTAACTGATTTATCAGTAGTACGATCTCTAGTAGACTTATGGTTTTGAACATGTCACAATTTACGTTTTTGATGTCGCTTTCAAAATTTATGTGGAGATGTATTTATTTATGTGACCTAATAAACTGGTCTTCTTAAAGCTGATGCGAAATTGGTATAGATGTTCGTTGTCGTTGTCGTTATTGTTGTCGTTGCGTCTTTCGAGTTACTATGTTGAGATGGACTATAAAATGTGGTGAGCAACCAAGGGTTACGTACTTCTTGCATCGCTTATTTGTTATTTATCCTTCCTGCGGCTTAGTTCTTGTCTCAGGGTTTACTGGCGGGCAATTTCCTTTCACCACCAATCACAAATGGAGAGCTCTCACAACCTGCTTTAGAAGACTTTATTCCCTCTCGTTTTATTCAACTTAGTGCTCGATCTACATTCAAGCTATAGTGTATCCTAGCATGCAAATGTCGTTTCGGTTCTATCAGATGCAGTAAGAAAGTCACATCTATTATATATGGGACACTAAGAAACCTCATTTTCCTATGATTTTTGTGGGATTACTGCTCTCCCCAGTTTTAATTTAAAATGCAGCCGGTGCCAGAAAACCCTTCTTGTGCCTCAAAACGTCTTTTTTTTTGCAGTTAGTGGAATTACAGTCATGACTCAGGAAAATTTTATGAAGAATTTCCCGATTTCTGTAGCAGCGAGCTAGTTTAAACACTGTGTGATTAAAATCTTAGCCTTCTTATTTGCTGCCTATTCTTTTTAACGGCAGGGTATGTTGCGAAATATAACTGCTATAATACAGAGATATTTGCAAAACTCCGGACCGCAAGTGTCTGCGGTGTGGAACGAACGCGCTATAGCCCTTGCCGGGGAGAAACGCGTTCACCACCACACCATGCGGGTCCTTCGTTTCGCCTGCTTCTTAGCTAGTTCTATCGATCTTTTGCCATCAGCAATCACCAGTCATCGGGATTGATCTGGGAGCCCAAATCGGCATTGGATCTAGTTAGGCTGAGGCTATAGTTATAATCACAATCTTAACCTTAACTCTTGTATTTACTGCCTTGTTTTTCTTAATGGCAGGGTATGTTTCGAATTATAACTCGTATGAAATGCTGAGATATTTGCAAAACTCCGGACCACAGGTGTATGCAGTGGGGAACGAACAAGCGCTGCTCCCCGGTAAGGACAACAGCGCGTGTTCGTTCCCCACTGCATACACCTGTGGTCCGGAGTTTTGCAAATATCTCAGCATTTCATACGAGTCACAATCTTAACCTTTTTATTTACTGCCTATAGCTGAGAGGCAGACGAAACGAAGTACCCGCATGGTGTGGTGGTGAAAGCGTTACTCCTCGGAAAGGACAATAGCGCCTTCATTCCCAACCGCAGACACCTGCGGTCCGGAGTTTTGCAAGTATCTCAGCATTATAGTAACTATGTGATCAGTTAAGTGCTCTAGATATACTGCCAATTTCCTCGTTTTTTAACTGTTAGTTCGTTTTTCGGAACTGTGCAGCGAACTTGATGAAGTCGCTTATTTCTTTTTGTAGCTTATATTTTCTTTTTTTTCTTCAGTTTATAAAATTTATTCTATCAGTTATGGCCAAAACTTCACTAGTAAATTAATGGCTGGAGGTAGTAGAATGAGTTCAAAATTCCCTTCTGCTTCATCGTTTCCATCAGTTTAGATCGGTAGAGACGGTCGGGTTCGTCCGATGGGTGGTAATCGCCGGGCCGCCAACTGGGCGTCCGCGTACGAGACCACGTTCCCGGCAAATTCTGGGCCTGTGACCACCACAAAAATGCACCCTCTAGCTGAGGAAGAGGAGCGACAGTGGCTGGTAGGGACGATTTTTTTAAACATATTTTTCATTCCAGTAGTTTCCACCACACAGTCGTATAGAATACATGCGGTATGATTTTGTAGCTAAGAGGAATTCTTCTAATGCTTGAAATCATAGTTTGGATTTGTTACCCATAATCCGTAGAAGTACTTCAATCGTTTTTGTTGAAGTAACCATAGTTTCCTCTTAGGGGAAACAATCACGTATAGTGTGTATAATGAATCTTCCCGTTGACCGTCGACTATCTCTAGCGGATTTCACTAGTGTCTCGACTCGTATCCGTCTCCTTTACATCCCATGGTATCTTTGTGAGTTGTGTTTCTATAAATGGGTAGAAGGAGCATCATGCTTTTCTTGTCGTTTTTGATTTCGGCCAAATAGGGTTTTCATAGTTTCGTTCAGGCAGCAGATCAAAGATAAATTTATTGAAATGTACTTTCAAAGTCGTCCAGGACTTGCTAATATGACTAATTGTATTATTATCAGAAATGCAAGGATTATTAGCTGCCTTCGATCGGCTTTCGGTCACATGGTAAACTCGTTAAATTAATGGGGTTTTCGATAGCGGCGTTGAATAATTCTGGCAATATCGCATCGTTTAATGAGACGCCTCTCGTCTATTTGAAAAATGGTGAGATTTTAGTTTTTATGTAGCTGTGCGGTTCATGAGAGGTCTTTGCATGTGAATGGCGAAGCCTCGATCGAGATCATTTTATCGAGTGGATATCTACGTGCTATAATGTACGGGACACGTGTCGCGCAGTGGTCGGAGGCACCCTGCAATATACATGGGATCGATTCCCGCGCCCAAGGCTCACCGAGCCTTCCATCTTTCCGGGGTCGGCAAATTGGTACCACGCTTTCTGAGAGGATAGCAGCGCTGACTCGACACATCGGCAGCCCACCGTGAGTCATTGTAAAGACCAGATATGCATTCAATCATCTCTAAGCGATGCTTAATGAAATCGAATACATGGCTTATCCTTCAGGGATTGATCAACGTCGAGAGCTTTATTTATTCTTTATACATGTACGGTGGATGCATGCTTAGTCTCATTTTTGTACAGTAATAGACCTGATTTTCAGTAAACGCACTTTTTTAAAACATGTCTCAAATTGTGTGTCGTGCGCATCTACAAGTACTTTGATTCCCTTCGACATGATGAATAATGTTATATTCACTGAAGAAGCTCCTTAGAAACTTTCGAAACGGTGCGCATTGATTTAAATGCGCACGTGCCTGGGAATAATTTGGGTTTTCATTCTTTGAGAAGCTTGTCTGAGCTCATAGTGAAGTGTGCTAATTTATAAGTCCACCATTCCATTCGAATCTATAGGTCTTTTCTAGCAAGTGTACGTTCTCTTTTCTCATGACGAATTACTGATCTTCTGAACCTTACGGATCATCTTCTTTCCGGGAGTTTTTTCCATCGAAGTTCGTATTTCGAACAGCTGAGCTGTTGAACTAGTAGGATTTATTCCAGTACAATACTATAACGTCCCTTAATGCTTGATCGATATATTCGTTTTCCTGACTTGCGTTGGGAGTTTTGCACAAATGGATTTTTAAACTCCTTAAGCATTAAACCGATATTTTAGAAAAGTTATCTTAACCACTTAAGAGATAAAGCACTTTTTCTTCTCTGAATGTGTGAACTTTCCAGTTCTTCAAATGCTTTAGTTCGCAAGAAATTATCAGCTATTATCGATAAAAGGTGGTATTGTGGGGAATCTGTGGAATTAGGTGGTTTCTGTCTCTAAGATTTCTTTAAGGTGATTGTGATTTAAAAAGTTGGGAACTTTAAAGCATTACAGAACGAAGACAGTTTTCAATGGCCATTGTATTATAGAATTTCCATAAAAAAGATGAATACATCGTCATATTTTACTACGTGTTGAGTTTTAAACAGCTATATGGAATAGCTCAAGCGCTTTTCAGCTTGTGGTAGAATTACGGTAGAAAACAGATTCGTTCTGCTCTTTCATTCTTGTACGCCTCTTCTACGAGTTAGAAGAAATTCAGCCTTCTTGATTTTTACAAATCAGGATTACCAACTAAGCCGTAATAATAATCTATGAGGTTACCAACCTTTTTCGTCTTTTCATTTAAAAAGAAACGTAATTCTTTACATTCCGATGAGCGGAACAGCTATAATTCAGTGATTTTGCTCTATCAGACTTGAATATCTATAACTACTTCCAGAAATCCGTAGACCGTTCGGACGTCGTTCTTCAATTCGTCGATCATCGTCGAAACAAACTCCGACGATATGTCTCGGACGTTGCTTCGCGATTCCCAATTCCTATACAGTGCACGGTCGAAGGCTCTAAAAGTAGGTGTTTCTAATCCATTTGGTGCGCCTATGATTCACACATATTCTCAGTCTATTTTGTGTGGCTTTATAGTTTTTCTGCTTTTTTCTTTGTTCCAAACTTTGTAGTGTGCATTGCATAGTTTTTACAGGACTGGTAGACAAACGAGGTTTACATAGATATTATGCTGTGTTTTAGCGAGGTGAGGCCGGTTGATCGTCTGCATGTCATCACGACTTTCCTTTACCTGAAAGTCATTTAAGATCGAAAATTCGCTTAATATTCTATAATATGATGTCTATTTCGCATATGACGGCAGCGTGCAGCGCAGTGGTCGGACGCGCCCTGCAATACACATGGGATCGATCCCCGCGCCCGTGTCTCACCAAGCCCTCAATCTCTTCGGGTTCGGCAAATTGGTACCAGACTTGTCTGGGAGGAGAGCATCACTGACTCGATACATCGGCGGGCCACCACGAGTCATTGTAAAGGCCAGATATGCATTTATTCACCTTCAAACGATGTTTATTGAAGTCGAATGCATGGTGCATCCCTCAGAGATTGGTCAACGTCGAGAGCTTTATTCTTTTATCCTTTATGATTCCTGTTCATTATATTACAATATTGAAGGCTCCAAGCACCGAATGATCGTGCATTTCTCTTGCCAAGTTCACAATGCGTATTGTGCCTTTCACGATGACTATATGTTCGCATTTAAGACGAAATTTGCCGCCATCTGGTTGCACTTGATGTTTCTACAGGTGAGCAAAAAGGATTCTCTTCGTTACAACTAATTTCTTCTCGCGTATTGAAAACGAACCACTCAGTAGTTATCTCTTAAAAAATCATCCTTTCTTGAACATTTTCTATTACGATGATTCCTCTGGCGGTCATTGTTCTTTGTCATACCTGACTATGTCTTTGACATATCTCTTATTGATTTACTCTTCATAACCGTGAGATGTTTTCGTTGCCGATAACGTGCAGTGTGGCGTTGATTTTGTTTTAGCTTTAGAAAATTTTAACCATCGAGAACTTTCCTGAGCTTCGTTATTCTCAAGTTTTTCAATATGATGTGTCTTGAGATGAGTGCTATAGAGAACACACGCTATTTTACAATGGTTCGCTTTGATATGCTTGAAATGGGAATTAATGGTTTCATTCTCTGAAGATATAATTTGTTGCTTCCCGTTAATCGTCGTTAATTTACTAATAAAATAATAAATGAATGATTTAATAATAAAATTCAATAATAAATTCACTTTCCGTTAATCGCCGGGTGATTTGAGCTGTTCCCACCAGAGTCTCATCTTGTCCTTACCACTTTCCGAAGGAGTTCTGCTTGCTTTATAACTTTATAAATATGAATAACCCCCTTTTCTTCTATAGGATAATGCTGAAAAACTGTGTGTGTCAGATTCATGATATTCCCGATGGCCGCCCAACTTCACATGAGATCCATTGGCCAACGAAGATGTTTCACATCTCTGACCTACTGAATTTTTGACATATTTGGCTCCCTTGCCGCATCACTGATCTTTGGTGGTCAGTGTTGGTTGAGGCTTCGGATTTGGATTTGCACTCTCATTTAATTAATACGAGATACTTCATCCTGTTCACCGGCCAGATTTCCAGGAAATGTGTTAAGGTATGAAGAATTTGCGAAGAATGGGTACAAATCTGGTTGCTTTCTTTTTTATTATGCATTACATGGTCGATGTCTTTGTGACCTTTGCAAACCGCTCACTTCTGCTGCGCACATCTGCTGCAGGCATTCATAATGTTCTCTTCTTGACAAAAATGGATTTAGCTGAAGTAATCGTAGATGTTAATGTTGTTAACCGTGGATGAGATATCAGAATCAAACGATCTCCATGAATATCGGCTCCTGACAGATCAGTTTTTTCTTCACAGACGTCGAATTTGTGAACAGAATGATTGTTCCACCTGGCTAGTGCTTGACATTGAATCAAAGATATCATCATCAGAGCGACGTAGCTACTGTGACGAGATGTTTTCAACTTGTAGGACTCTCTTTACGTCAGTGACAGTGTGTTGTTGTACAATAATGTAGTCCTGACTGTTGAGTTGTTGTGTAGCTCATGAAGGATCTTTGTTTAATGATCCACGATCCCATGCATTCAAATTTTCCATTTCACAGTCTATCCGTCCTCGTTAAAATTCTTTTAGCGCCTATTTTTCAGGTCTGTTGTGGGAAATAAGTCCGGATCAAATTGTCACGAAAGATCTATTTTCAGATGCAGTCAACGTCGATTGAAAACGAATGCGGTGTGGTTTCACAGTCAGCTGCTCCATTCGTTACTTTAGCCCGATGTTGGCAGTGCCTTCCGGCTCGGATCACTAAAGACAGGGCATTTGTGACACTCGTCACCAGTGCGTTTCCCACAGTTCAGGTTAGTCGACTTGTAGGTTGACTATCTCCACGTACAGCATTTATATGATAAAATCGTATCTAAATTCAGATTATTGGTAAGCCTTACTAGAGGTGTAATATTTGAGAGTAAACATAGTTGTCAGAGTTTTAAATGTAGTGTAGCACTTTTCCAATAATTGAGAATGTTTACTGGGTAGCTTTGTGCGTTACCTTTCGACTGTTGACAAGTTTTCAATTCGTCGATGCAATAATATTTCTTAGGAACAAGACAAGTTATACAAGGAACTCGAAGAAGCATCATTCTTCGACTGTTTCTCACTGGACGGACCATCGAATCGATGGAGCTGTTTCAGTTGTTCTCATCCGGATCGTGTAAAGTAAGTGCTTCTATTGTCTATGACTTCATGTTTTATTTTTGAGCAGAAACGGAATTGTTAACATAAGATTTGTTCAGCAGTCGCTCACGTTTCGCCGGTTTCGTATTCTTTCAGGCCTAAAAATTTGAAATTGAAGCATATACAGCATAAAGCTCTCGGCGTTGATCAATCCCTTAAGGATCCACCAAGCATTCGACTTCACTAAGCATCGTTTGGTGGTGGTTGAATGCATATCTGGCTTTTACAATGACTCGCGGTGGATTACCGATCTATCGAACCAGTGCTGCTATCCTTCCAGACAAATCTGGTACCAATTTACCGATCCCGGAGGGATCCAGGGGCGCGGGAATCGATCCCATGTGTATTGCGCCTTCGACCACTGCACCACGAGCGCCGTAATTGAGATCGGCACATAATCCACTCAAATTTCGTTACCCAATCAGAAGAATTACTGTTTTTTGCGCACCATTTAGATCCTACCTGGCGCTACAGGAGGCGAAATCGTGGAAACGTCGGCCACCGATGAATAAATATTTTTGTTTGTAGCCTCATTTCTGTACATGAAGAAAACATTATCATAAGGTTCTGTAGGTTGTCATCTGTTCGCTGTAGGCTGAATATAACTGTTTTAACTTGAAAGGCGAAATACTATTTTAGAGCGGCTATGAGCTTAAGTGCGCATTTAAATTGTCATCATTGTGTTACTTTTTTTTGTGCAATCTCATCACTTAAAGTCCGACATAAGTTGCTTTCCACTTCTGTGGTGCGAAACCCATGACGCTTTCAAGGTTAAACCAGCTCATCGCGACCCTCATTGATTGAAATCGAAGCTGTTAACGTCTACAGATGTTTTCCGTCAGACGTGTTTTTGTCGCTTTCTGTTTCGTCGACGTCCATATTTTGACCACGAAAGCGGCTGAAAAAGTGCGAATTTATCCAACAAAGCAAAGATGTCCATGAATGTGTTATCGATATTTACGGTTACCGGTCATGCGGTAGAGGCTCTAAATGTTCCGCTTTCAGTTTTTGATAGTTTTAATACTAAACATTTTAGTAACAAAAATGAAATAAATTTTTTTGGAAAATTACATTTAAGTTAAGTACAACCACAGAGTTCAAACCCGCGCATATTTTGCCGTGGCTTTGTGCGTTACCCACCACACTAAATGTAAAATGGAAGCTCTTGCTTAATTTAAAGACTTTCTTTAGTTTGCTGTTCTAGCTGCAAGAATTGAATTTCGAATAGTTCTTTTTATAGGTCGTTTGTTGAGGAGGGAGGCTCACAACGAGTTCTAGAAGGTCAACTAAAGGAGAAGAAAGGACGATGGCGATTTCTACGACGATGGCACACGAAATACTTCACACTTTCGAGTGCCGCTCTTACTTACAGTTCGGAGGAGGCGGTCAGCTCTGTTTTCCACTATTTCCCATCGCTTTCACTTTTGGGAACTTCTTAGTAAACGTGCTCAAGTATTTTTTTGTCTTATTTTCTATGAGTCGTCATTACATGTACTGTGCGGTTCCCAGCACTTCTTACATTCGATTCGTTGTCCTCCCATTCATCGTTCACAATGATTTCCCAACGTTTCGTATGTTGTTTTAGCCTCTGCTTTAGAATTTCGTCTTCTTTATGAATGTCGCAAAATGCTGATCGACTCGTTTATCCTTGCAATCTTGGAGATAGCCGGTCTAAGGCATTCCCACATGCAATGAAGGAGAGCGGCGGGACGAGCCGGGGCGGAAATTGAACTAGCTTCCTTTGCTTCCTGATCGACGGCATCCTTAACCACTGCACTGTTTCCTTGCTCAAATATTGCAGTTAAAAAACTGGTGATATGTACCAAATACAGTTTTTTTTTCCTGAGGCGAATTATTTAGGAGACAAAAATCATTTAAATGCAAGGTTAATGTTATGAGTGTAGCAGTGTAGAAGGTGTACGACAGGATTTATTCATTGCAGAAGTCTGTTTATCGAAAGGTTGAGTAAGAAATTACCTACTTTTTCGAGACTTAACAAGTTTATCTCCTCATGGTATCTTTGTTAGTGCCCTGCAATTGTAGCTTCGTAAATTACTCGTTTATCATCCGACTTCGATCGATTTAACCAACTGATTATGCGACATTCTCGCTTTTGTTGGTCATCGCGAATGCACAGTTATTTCGTTTTCAGTCTTTCATTTTAAAAACCGAAAACCTCAAAGTTTAAAAGTTTTTGAGCTTCATAGGAATCCGACTCCAAAACACTCTTTGGTTTAAATCTGTTTTTGATTCCTCCTGAAGTGCACAAGTGATTCTTCAATAGCGAACTACTTCAACAATAAGTTCGTTCAGAGCGAGTCCAGCGCAGTAGTGCCGGCGATTGACCTGAGGTCGATCCGTTCTGTGCGTTCCTTGAGTCGCGGTCGAAAAAGCAGGAAGTCGCTTCGGCGTGCTTTCGAGATCTTCACATCGGACAATACGTCGGTTGTTCTTAAGGTGAATTTTCTTAGTTTCTAAGACTTAATCTTTCATTTAAAGGATGTAATTTATTTGAGGTTGAAATTTATATCATCCTTAATGAACAACTTTACTTTTAATAGCAAGTTTTGTAGTTACAAGCTATGTAGAAGGCCAAAGATTGTAATCAACGCTAAAAGTAGGTTGTAACAGTACATCGATCGTCGTACGGCTATGGCTTGCGCAATGGCTAAGACTTCGACTGAGACAATGGATAAGACTTAGCTTCATCGAATTTCAATCAAAACCGTACACGTTTGTTGCTACCAACTACTCATCGCCGTGTTTAAGAGTGTCGTTGTAAAAGTAAGAATAGTCTGGAAGTATATCCAGTATTAGTCTTCTAATAGTTGGTTTTGACACAACGAAACCGCATTTGCTTTTTCATTTGCAGTCTTAGCTTTGGTTGAAACTCCAAGAAAATCTTCCTAAGGGTTTCATTTGTGAATTGCTATAGTCTTACCTTATTGTTTATGGCATTTTCTAAATGCATGGAAGTGTCCTTGAACTAGAAAATGAATTCAAGAAAACGTTAGTTGAACTATCAATTCAGCACCGTGGTGCAGTTGAAATTCCCCTAAATTTGGCTATATCTGTGGAGTTTTTCCTTCTTCGTTATCCAGAACGAAGTTATTAGACAAGCTTTGGTGGAAAGTCACTTTCGCTAGTCACTTGCTGACGACATTGTCGTGTAAAGCTCAGAAGAAGTGAAAATCAACCATAACATTACATGTATTGTAGTTTACAAAAATTATTACCTGTTACGGCCTTAAGTAAGTGTACTAAGATTTACGTCATTCCATTCAGCCGCAGATTTGTTTCAAAATGAAAATGGTGTCTCTAAACGAAATATTCGACCAGTTTCGATGTTTTAATGTACTTTATTTCCTTCTAAATGTTTCGGATAACTTTTTTTTTGAGCGCTACACTCCCACAAAATTTTTGTCGTAACAAAAAGCGATAGAACTAGCTGAGAGACAGGCAAAACGAAGGACCCGGATGGTGTGGTGGTGAAGTGCGCTACTACCCGGTAAGGACAATAGCGCGCGTTCGTTCTCCACCGTATACAGCTGCGGTCCGGAGCTTTGCAAATATCTCAGCTTTATATACGAAAAGCCTTTCTAAATCTGGTGAAAAGGCTCTTGTTTCTTAATGTCCAATTCCAAACCTACCTTATTTTTCGGTTAACGTAATGAATAAATGTTAAAAGACGTGCTGTCCATCCATTTCGAAATGAATGGATGTTCTACTGGATCAAAGTGGTTACGGCGTCATTGGAAAATGGCAGTGTCACTTTTCAAAGAGTAGCACAGAAAAATTTTCTGTGTAAAATTGGGTAAAATGTCAACCATATATGGCTTGCATTGTGACCACTGGGTAAATACTTTTTCCCCTCCTTTTGACTGTGATTACGTGAAGAACGTACAAACCGTTTTAGGCCACCGATGAGAAAAAGGCAGAGGAATGGCTGCAATATTTACAAATAGCTGTGGCGCACGCCAGGAGAGACACCAGCTGACGGTATTTGAATGGTTGGCTAACGACACACTACTGGTTTCTTTGACTTTCAGTGCTTTTTATGAGATTCTTAGCATTTGTACACACACCAAATCCAGTTGTTTTGCCATTCAGCTTAATTTGCTTTAAAGTGTGATATGAATAGTTACGGATCACATTGTGATTTTTACGGCAATAAATCGGCGCTATATCACCAACACCCTGGGTGTGATTTCTTCATAAGATAGGTATTTTATTCATTTTTGAGCTTATAGTTTTTTAGGGTGCTTTTGAAGAAGTTGTGAAAACCCTATTCGTGTTCTCATTGAGATATTCTGAATGCATACCACCACTAGATCCAAAGATAGACTAAATATTCGCTAAAGAATTGGTCCAGTAACATTTTAACATTAGGAAAAAAACAGGTTTGGCGTTTTGCGTCATCGTCGTTTATGTGTATGTGTGCCCTATATATTGGCTAGAGTCGGAATTGGTTGTGGAATATTAGTCTTCATGTCTCACTTCGTACAGTTGTGCTATTAGCTTTATATCGGCTGCCCTCTCATCTCATCTCTGTATTTCATTCCTTTTGTTTGATTTGTCGGAACTTCTACAAAATTCTATTCACTTCATGCATTTACAAAGTAAATCCAGTCAGTTGATGAACAACGATCATCGAGGTTTTTATGACCGGGATTACGTGTTCCCTAAGGTGAGCATCGTGATGACACTGAGAAATTGAGTGTTGCAATGTGTAGGCCAGTAATATATGTCGTCCATGCAGTGCTATGTTTTTTTGTGACTATGAGATCCCCTTGTACCGGTCTCTCCACACCTACATGTTCATGTAATAGTTTTGCTCGGTGTAATAAATAAACATCTTTGATCGAAAGTGTCTGTAGCGATGCTAGAAAGCTCTAGAGTTTTAAGTTTTCATAGATGGAATGAAACTGTGGAGAGCTACCTAGATATGTGTGTAAAGGATTCGAATGCCAATAAATATAAAGAGAGCGAGACATAATAAACGCCTTGGTATGGAATTCGGAGCACTTGCATTGTTTTTATCCTGCTTCTCTGTTGGTGAACTTGTCACGAGTTGCCGACTAGAATCCTTGCGCTTTGACCAGTTCGGACCTTTCCCATCTGTGGAAGCATAAATGAAGGTCAATCTTATCTCATCGAATCTAGGTGTTTTACAGTCAGTATCTAACTCTAATTCTTGAAAATCATAAACATCCAGGTTTAAGTTTAAACCATTAGCCGTCTTTATTAGTAAGGCGAGTTGGATCAATCGCTATGACTTCCTTGTGATGTTGCGGATGCGAAGTCATTCTCTCGAAGCGCTGCACATATGAGATAACAACAAAATCTACCATTTAACGCAAAGGAGGGAAAAGATTATTGTTAGCTTTCAAGAGCCATTTTTTACCGTTAGTCATGCTTGTTTTTCTTAGCATATTCGCTACAATGCAACCTCTGTAGGTTTTGCCTCGCTTTGAAATGCGAGATTGTGGAGGATATATAGGCACTCTAGGAGTCAGATGATTCATTCTGTTATTGATAAGCAAAGACGAGGTTGTCACTTTATTCTCTATTTACGAACAAGCTGACGTTTCGGCGGATTTCCCCATCTTCAGGGCCTGTAATAGTCTACTTGACTGCAATTTACCTGGCCAAAAACCTCCATAACCAGGCAAAGAATGTAGGAAACCAACATTTTAATCGCATCGGAAGCAAAATAGCTTCTTCGTACAATCACTACTTTCTGTAGGTCTTCCACTGAGTATTACACGTCGAGTCCAACCGTACAGAGTTCACGTTCAAGCATAATGTGGCGTTCTAGAGAGAGCCTCTCAAAAGGTCATTTGGTGCCGATGGTTTATTTTGGTTCAAGGAATCCGTTCGTTATATGCGTTTTAATCGCTCGACAGTTTCTCCAACTCGGACACTGATGGTCATCAGTTCGAAAAATCTCTGTGACGTATGGAAAACAAAACAAGAATCATTTTTTCGAACGAGTTCACTGACTATAAGTGACCATAAAATAATTTGACTGGCAATCCATTTTTTTCACTTGTAGTCACTATAAAGGAGTTTTGTCATCGAATGAAATGTGCGGGTATAAAAAGTTATCTAAATGGGCACCATAAATTCCGAAACACTGTCGTATACTGGCACGAATGTGTTTGTATTTGGACTACAGTAAAATATAGCAAATGATAGCATACATACAATCCACGAAAATAAAGCGAAAGAGCGAAGTCTCTTCTACGTTCCATCAAGTCATTCATTCGTAACCCCTTAAGTCTTCTGGTTCTCAAACTGTTTCACCACGTTACTGAGATATTTGCAAAACTTGGACCTCAGGTCAGATGTGAAAGGAAGGCAAAGCAATGGTCCAAGGGGTGCAGTGTCGTAATCGCCCATTATCCCGCCCAAGTGAAAGTTGCCTGACATTGTCTGAGCTTCGTCGTCGGGAAGTTCACTAGCACAATATCTCTCCTATTTGTAAATGTTTCACTCGTAATATGTTAGTCACGATGTCTTAATGTTGAGTTTCAATATTTTTTCGAATTAGCCTCTTGTTGTTTTTATCCTTTTTTATACGACCTGCCATCACATCCGCTGTGCGGATCCCAGCAGTTCTTGAATTCGATTCGTTTTCTTCGCTCTAATCATCCAGAATGGGGTGCGAACATTTTGTATGTTGTTTCGGTTGCTGTTTAAAGGTTTCGTTTTCTTTATGAATGCCATAGAATGATGGTCCAGTCAATTGTCCTTGCAGTCTTGAAGATGGTCCAGCTGAGGCGTGTCCACATGGATTGGAGAAGAGCGTAAGGGAAAGGATCGAACCAACACCTAGCTTCCTTTTAGACTGCATCACTAACCACTCCACTAGCTCCCAGTTCTGGAAATACTACCGCCTCTTGGGTACTATCGTCTAAATTAGGAGTACTCATATAGTATTTGCGATGTTGCCTTTTTAGCATTTTCTGAGGTTGCAAGTTTCGTTAACATTTTCACTTAATGTCTTTGGAAGCATAAACAAGGTCAATGTTCTAAAACTACGCTTTATTCCATCGGACCTCGTTTTCGTGGGTAGCTCACTATCTACTCCTCGGCGATTAAATCAATGACGAAAACTGTTAACATCTTGCCAAGCACCTCACTTCTAAGTGCACTTTAGGCTGAGCTTGCTTTCTGAGTAACTTAGGAACTCTTCCAGTCCTGATATGTACGTAGGACGTGCTTCGCTGTTGTTCACGTTATTTTGAGATGCTCATCGACGGTATGCTTCTGTTCCCTATCTGTATTTAGTCTGCGACACATATGAACAGATTTTCTCGCTTTTAGTGATAAAATTTAGAATACTCAACATTACAATTCGTACAATATTACAGAATGGAGTGAATACCCTGATACAGGCGTTAGATGAAGTGATGTTATTCAGTGTGAGTTTCGTTTATCACTAGATGTGCCTTTTGACGTAATCGTATGTCTAGAAAATACTGCTGAAAGAACTATGTCAACTAACCATAATTATGCTCAAATGTTTGCAAAACTCCGTACCGCCGATGTGGGCCGTGGCGATCGAAAACGAAGTTGCCTTTTC